GTCTCCTTAAGGAATGACCACTCCCCTTGGACACCCGGCTCCCCCCCCCCACACACACTGGCATTAGGACTTTCCTAACTTTGACACCCACTTTCTGGAACTGAACAGTCCTTTCATGAGTACTCTTAATTTCTTATCTTCACTCAGAAATGTATTTTATAATCATAGAAAGATGGTAATAGGGGAATAAAAAAATGCATTCTCATCATTACATCTTTACAGCACATGTGTGTGGAGATTCTTATTTCTAGTCATCGATAAGCAGTGCAAACCAGATCTCCAGGTCTGAATTAAAGTATAAAGAATTAAATGGGTTCAGATCTCTGAGTAACAAATAAGAAGTACCGAAGAACTACAAATATCCTGGCGTGTTCTTTCTTACTTTAAAGGATTTGGGTCAAGATTTTTGCAAATGGGATGTGAAGTTCAGCTGCTAAACAAAGGGACACTGATTACTGAGAAGTTCTCCATAGGGACAGCACCAAGCAGTTCCTCTTTCCAGATATCAGCCACAGACAGCAGACGTCCAGCCAGTACTCATCCCTTCCATATGGCTGGAAGAATGTTCCTGGCTGGACCCCTGCTATACGCCTCACTCCTCTGACTCTCAGTATGAGCCCATCTGCTGGTAGCTGTCATCACGAAGAACAGGTTTGATGCTGCTCTGTTAGAGATACCTACAGATTAGCCCTAAACACTGCCTGCTCCACAATGCCATATGAACCCCTTTTCCCACCTCCACTACAAGTAAGCAGTTACCAGACTGGACCTCTGAGTGACAGCAAATGCTTGTTTTTGTTAATAGTGCTCCAGAAGCACAGCAGAGCAGGAAGCCTTTTACTATATAGACCATAGCACTTCAGAGCCCAGGGAATAGTTATTAGGCCACAAACCCTGGGTCACACTCTCTTTCCACAGAAGCCTATACCATCAGAGAAAGCTTAAAGCTTGCAGCAAAGGACCACTCCCCTAATTGTGAGCCATTATGCTTGTTTCTTGACTGCCGAGCCGTAATGCTTACAAAGATCCTGCTCCAACACTACTTCTAGAAGGACTTTAAGAGAGAGTTAAGAGAAGCCTCAGTAAACTGGCTTCTTGGAAAGGAGATGTAATAAGAATTTCAAATAAAAAAGTTTGAGGAATTGCAAGCTGAAGTTTCAAAGAGGATCTTAAAGCCAAAGTTTCTTTTCATGCATTTGATCCTACTGTACCTGCAGCCTATTTGTTGAATAACTAATGCCACTTTTAATTTTAAAGTCTTTGTTTTTTAAAGCTATTCTGGTCTTTTGTTTGTAAGAAGAATGCATTGGCTGTAGTATCCAACCAATACATGACTAGCCAACAGTCCTTTCTAAAGGACTGTCTTGATGATCCAGTTTTTTTCTGGTAAGCTATAAGAACAATAAATGAATTAAAAACAAACAAATGTTAGCAAAGTTTTCCAGCAGGACCTAAAACCAGAAGGAACTAAGGCCAGATGCAAGAAAATATATCTGTACAGTGCTTTGTAAAATGTTTGGAATCTGTGGCACCTGGATATGGGAAAGAAATGACCTTTGCAAACAGAAAGACATTTTCCATGAAAGGGTCTTGTTACATTCACGTAGTTGAATTTGTCACATTTATTCTGTTGAGAATTGATCGTGTACATTGTATATTTTTTTTTTAATCTCAAACTGTGCTGCTGAAGCACTTCTAGTCCACTTTCGGGTCCACTGGGGAGCATGAACAGGGGCCCTCCAAATCTCCCACCTCAGCAACTGGTGCCTTCTGGGCCTGGGGGGCACCTGCGGTCCCCCTGTGGCCAATTGCTGAGCCAGGGTGCATGGACCCCTCCCCACCCATGAGCTCCCTGGCGGACCTGGAAATACTTCCAGTCTATTCCCGGGTTTGCCACCAAGCATGCAGGTCCCCCCAGACCCGCCCCCCATGCTCCTGTGGGACGCTCCATTTGCCCCAGCATTGCAGGATGCATGAGCTGTGCTTGGTACCTTGAGGTACGTAAAAATCATTTAAAGTTGTGTCTATGTCCGAATTGCTGATTCTCTGAATCAGCATCGAATCCTCAGATTCGGATTCCACTGAATCAAACTGTGGACAGTGATCTGAATCAATGAATCGAATCACTGTCCCCAGTGCAGGCCAAATCCAAATCGAATACAGCCCGTTTCGCACACCGTAATACTCAGCATGTCTTCATTTTACTATAGTGTCAATGATGTTTCTCATGAAGTGCTTGAAATGATATTGGTTTCAGCTTCCATTAGCTGATCTTTATAATTCCTGCACTATTTATTGTCAATGGTTTCAGTGTTTCATTGAACATAAGAGGGCAAAGGTCTTTACATTCCCTATGGGGACTGGAAAAGAAGACGGTGCACAGAGCCTCCCTCTTATGCACAGATAGAGGAATGGGGCAAAACTTGGTCCTTGCACTCTTCTAAATTCAGTAGCTACATAAGATATAACAACAGTGCCTCCAAACCCATGCTTTTCTACAGTAACCATACATTGGCTTCTCCTCTTCCCAGACATGCACACATTTTCCAATAGCACTAGCCAACACCAAAGAGAGTCAATGCTGTATTCTCTTCATGGGTGATAAAGCACTGTCTTTTGTGTAATGTCACTAAATGCATGAATACCTTGTCACTTCAAAGACAGCATAGTCTTCAGATGCTGTAGTTAATGTTTATGCGTATAAAATGAATATTTTCTTCACTAACACTTCTCTCCATTTTTGTTTAAACATTTGGGCATCCAGCATTTGAGAGACAACAGCAACAATGTTGATGTACATATTCAAGTCATCAGTATAAAAGCACTGTTAGTACATTAAATAGAGCATTCAAAGTAAAGAACCTTTCTTACCTTATCTATTTTATTAAACTTATCAAAAATGCTATGAGCCCCCCTAAGGTCCCATTCTGCTTAGAAAACAAACTCTATACTAAAAAAGACGTGGTCATTGCAGCATTCATTCATTCTTTTTACTTTCAAAATTCAAAGGAACTGAACTCAATGGCAGTGAAAAACCTTGCTGACATGCCATTAAACAGAATCAAGAAAGTACAACTGAGTATTTCAAGACTTAGAGTGGCTTCCATCCTACAGTTAAAAGCACAAACCTCTCAGTGAGAAGGATCTGTGGCTGGTAAGAAAGTCACAGTCTGGTAAATCTGGACTGAAAAAAATAAGTGCTGCTCAGTCTGCTTTGGGAAGTATAGTTGTTCTCACTTGTAATGCTTTTTTTTTTTTTTGTTTTGCCTAGTCTTTACTTAAAAGCATAATGCTCCCTGTGTTAATATGATTATCAGGATAATGAAAGGAATTAAACTTCAGGTTTAAATTAATGTGAAGTTTCAAGACAATGTAAGCTATGGTAACAGAATCCTTTTAAAAAACAACAGGAGGATGTGAAGCTTAGTTTTTTGTATATCTAAATATATCCATTTTCAATACAAAATTCTGCACTCACAATTACCTTTCCACAACATCCTCTCCATTCCAGCAAGTTGAGCTGTCTCTCATCACCAGGTCTCCATCACAAAGCCTTTCTGCAATAGAGGCATAAAAGGTTCGGGATCTTTTCATGTAGTTGATGAACTCCCTACAAATTAGGAAGAGAAAGAGATTAACAGCAAAACAGTAAATTTCTGGGGAAATTGCTCTGTCAAGTTAAATCGTTATTTATGGTCCCATAAGGTTAAAGGTTTTCAACCCTTTCAAAAAGAAAAAGCCAACAAAGTTAATTTGCTCTTATTCAAAGTTTATTTTTCTTTCTGATTTATTATCCACCCCTAGTTACCACAGCGCTAATAGATTAAATTGAGTTTAAAACATAGTTTTAACAAATACCAGCAATACATCACACACAGATTGCAAATCTGCATCTAACGCTTTCGTACCAACAGATAAAGATGTATTTGGAAGTTCTATTGTTAGGTGGAAATTTTCTTTTTATAGCTAACAGTCATTATTTTTAATCTGACCTTGGGCCAGCAGGAGATTAATTAAGCATGCTGGCAGCCCTGTTACTGGACGGAGAAGGCTACCTTCATAATCACCAGCACTGACCCACAACGACATACTCTTCCATTAGTTAACTTCAGTTTGTAACTCCAATGCAGAAAAATTATCTTTTTAAGGCTGGCAACTCTCCACCATCGCCATCCATGGCACATAGTTATTGCACGTCAATCTTTCTATTGTTCAACCTGGTGCCTACCCTGAAGTAATGGCCTGGAGAAACATGAAAAAAACTGGCCAGTGCTAATAGCCCATTGTCTGATGTTGTAAGGGGGGTGGGAAGAATTCCTTCCCAGAGACATGCTCTGAAACATGAGTATTTCTGTCTTGCTGACCGACCTCAGACAGAAGGGTTCCTCTGTATTTTGAATACCAAGGGGTGAAATATTGTAGATTTTGTAGAATCTTGGATCTATCACTCTCCCAGCGACACATAAATAATTACAGAGATCACGTTCAGTAGTGGGAAGAGACCAGTTCTCATTATTTGCTCAAGAGCTCAGAGTACCTGGATATTTATATCAGGACAACACCTTACTGGCATGAATGGGAACAATTCACTTTTCCTTAGTAAAACCTGATGTGCTTTGTTTGTATTACCATGTATTGGCTATGACATGTTAGCTAAAATGTAATGGCAAAAATGTATCTTTTCTTCATTACGAAAAGTGGAGAAGGAACCAGAGACAAAGGATCCTATATCCTTGTCTTGGTGGACATGGTTATTTAGTGGGCCTGCTGCATTTACTATATCACATGATCATTTCTGTACAATCTTCCTGCTGTCTGAAGGAAGGTAGAGAAATATAGTGGGAGTGGTTCCTGAGCCAGAGCAGCTAAGTGTAACCCTGGGCATGCATTGAGGGCCCTTCCAATGCCCTCAAGGCTGCTCCTGAGTTGCTTACTCTTCCTAATCACCAGTTTCTGGCATGCCAGATCAGAGTGAGCAGGCAGGGCTTGTTTTTTCAGTAGAAATCCCAGGATTGTGAGGGACACAGCATTGAAACCTCTGATTATATGAAGACAGCAGAGACACTTTAGAGCTGGCTACACAGCACTGTTCTCTTCAGGAGGACAAAAATACAACCTCTTAAGAAAATCTACTGCTTATGTTATTCAATCTTCCCAAAGGCTTTGAAATCCTTTGCATCTCTGTGTATATACTAGTTTAAAAATATCTTAAGCTTCAGAATTCTAGTGTATTTTCACTTCCTACAAAATCAAAATATTTAGATTTTAATAAAATAGACCTAAACTTGTTTAATAAGAATTTGGAGCTTCCTAGTTCTTTCCACAATAATAAACCATTTTTTTATTAAGTGAATTCTAAAGCAGCTGTAATCAAAAGTAGGTCATTCCTCGATCGGAGCTCACAATGGAATCAAGAACCTTATCATATTTTGCTGAGCTACGTTGACAGAGTATGTCACCTTGTTTTCATTCTTACCGAGAGATTTTTTTCAAACTTCTGGATTTGTCATTCTTTGAAGCTTTCAGAGGCAGAGAACTGGAATAGGCCAGGGAGAATAAGCATCAATCAGAAGAGGTTGGGGAGTAGGGGAGAGGCAGGAATTCAGGCAAATGAAGGAAAGAAATGAGAAACAAAAGAAAAAAAGTAAAAATTATTTGAAAGAAAAGGTCATCAAGCACATGCATAGGATAATATCAGAAAACAAATAAGGAAGAAAATTATCATGAGATTTTCCATAGATGTAATTAAGATATGTCAATGCATTTCTGAAACACACACTATTCTTTTCCTGAGTCATTTTCAAACAAAAGCACAATTACCAATGCAGTGCACACACAAAATGCTAAAAAATAAATAAATCCTGTGGACTTAAAATTGACCATATCCAATAACAAATTAAAGCGGTACAATTATGCAACAGGTACTAAGCATGGTAAAGCAAACAAGAAAAAAATGGCTTTGAGTGGGCTCCACATAGCAGCAGACTTGGAAAGTGTTTGTTTTTCAGGGTAACGAGCAATTTGTCATCTCTCTTAATACACTACAAGTACAGATATTTTGTGTTGTTTAGGTCTGAATGCTTTTTAGGATGCTACCAAATTAGAAGAACCTTTTAAAGTAGAAAATACAGCTCTTAAAGTCATATGTGAGGACAGGGTTGAAGGGATCACTATAGGAAGACCTAAATATTCTAAGGCACCTCTTACAATTGTTCCAGTCCTAGGCTCGATGTCCATCGTGAATTCATTTTCTGCTGCAGGAATTCCAAGCTGGATAAAAATCTTTGTGTGCCATACATGGCTTGGCATTGATTTCTGCTGTCACACTAGTGAGATCAGAGTCAGAATGTTTATTCCCACTGCAATGCTCATGCATAACTTAATGGCATTGCTAGGAAATGCACATGTAAAAGGGAACACAGATCCTGGCATGTGTGTCAAAACCAGGTAATTCTTACTGAAGAAAATGGAATAGACTGCAATAGGATCAAGCAGCACAAAGCATATGTGAGGGTAAAAAAAGGGCCTTCGGTGGCTGTCAAGTTTCTTAGAGAGATTTCATTCATACAGTCACAACCTCTACCCAGAGTTGCGGGAGCTGTTAGGAAAGTTCTATTCTCCCCAACTAGACATGTTCTGACAGAGGGCCAGCTATACACAACGTCACATTTATGAAAACAGAAGTCTAAGCCAATTGGGACTTCCGCATATCAGACTACTGAGAACTGCTCAGAAATGTTTTATTCTTCTCCAGAAGTAAGCTGATTTTCACTGGATTAATGATGCATTCTGTACTACATCTTTAATGCTGTAATCTTAATAAAGCTATGTAGTTTTTGATTCAACAGACAGATTTCATTCAAATAAAATAGATGGAAGGCATTTCTGAAAAAATTCAAAATTAGTTATTCAATAATAAGACCCATGGGTCATAAAATATCAATGAAATCCTAATGTACTATTATTTCAACTCCTGCCTCTTCCAGCTGAAAGCCAAGTATGATATCTTAATTCTTTGTTACGAAGAATACATTTCTGTAATTACAGGTAGACTAAGACCCAGCTTGTGAGCAGCACAAACAATAAGGTAAGTATTTGGTTTTGTCAAGTGTCCTTATCCAACCTGAAATAGTACTTTGTGCTGAACTCAGTAATAAAATGCCAATTTACAGAAAGAGATACTGTCCATGCTGTGTGCTTTCATATACCATCATATGCCTTCACTTTTCTTGTCATCCCACCTATATGCGACAGTAACCTCTCTGTTAAAAAATGACTACAATAGCAAAGTTGCAGGTTTCAGTTAATCTCTTAAGAGTACTATGTAGTACTCACATCTATAAATTTTCATGGCAATGTTGTAAATATATTCAGATTTAGAGATTTTCTAACAGACCAGGCAGCATTTGTTCCAACTTCCACCATCATGCCAGTGTTCCAAAAGAGATAGCGTTAGTGGAATTAGGAAAAAATGTGCCAGAACTGAACTGCACTGGGATTAAAGAAAGAAGAAAATTCTGTAGAGACATTCAAGAGTTAGAGGAGAAATCTAGCAAAGTATATGTACGCCAGGGGTATTTACAGGTGATGGCAACCTGAAGTCTCTCAGTGCATGTGATTCTACATGCTGCTAACCATTTTGTACCCCACATCAAACCCTTTTAATTGTAAACTTAACTTTAAGCATATGGGTCTTCTCTTTAGTTAAGTATACACTATAGGACATAACTAAAAAGTCTATCCTTTTCTTCATTGAATTTCATCACATGCTTAACTTGAAGCTTCTATTTAAATCTCACTGCACTCAGTTGGATTTAATTATGTCAGAGCACTGAGTTAGTGTTAATAACACTTTCCATTTTCTCCTTGATATAATGTAAGCAGTATAGCCACGATTAAAACTTACTGCTTAGTCACAGATACCACACAGTGGTGTGTAATACTAAATGTGATTTGCCTTGCTGATCACAGGGAAATACTGTTGAAAAGGATGGAGCTGGGTGTCTGGCCAAACTAAGGTCATGGCAGCATTGCACTGCACAGAAAGAGGCGTTATAAGGAATGCATCTAAGTCAGGGCACTAGAAACAGCGATTTCAAGAGCAGGAAGAAAGGGAGAGGGGAGGGTGTTTGTTCATGTATTTCACGTGAAGTAGCTAATGCAAACTATGTAGAACAAGCTTAATTTCCATTTACTTAAAAGTACTGTTTGCTTGTGGTTACCTCCTTTTACTGTTCAGAGTAGCAGAATGGGTCAGTGTGAGAGCCTGCATTTCAGTCACTTCTTTCACTTGCACTACGTTGTCTGGCGAAGGCTTCACTTCTCTTCCTTTAGGCTGCCCGCACACTTTATCAACCTGTAACAAAGCAGAAGGAGGAAAGAAAACCTAATTATGTTTGAACAAGTTTGGCTCTTCTGGCTTATGTTATTATGCACAGGGAATCTCTGCATTGCATGGCAAAAATGCACCTGGAGAACATTAAGGAAGGATCCTTGTCCTCAGTAAATATGGTATCAACAGGCAGTGCAAAGATTAGCTGATTGCTACAGCTGTGCCATGCTGTAGCACACCTAATAGTACACTCCAATGGCAAGCCTACCCCTCTCTGTACTACACCGGACTCTCCTTCACTTCACTCCTTGTCCAATGTGAAAGGAAAAGTGTGGGCGGGAAGCATGGCATCTGATGTGAAGGAACAGTTCAGCAGGAATGACACATTTGTAAGGAGTCTCTCAACATGAAGAAAACATTTCCATGTACTCACTTGCATTTATCTGGCAACTGTACCATTTCAAGTAGGGTAGCTGGGGTATAGTTAGGAATCTACCTAACTCAAGGACATGGCTGGTCATTTTCAAGGGCAGATCCTAGGGACAGCTGCCATTTTTATGGACTGAGAGCAGCGAAGCCCCTCCCCCCATGCCTCTGATTACCCGAGGGGGCCCAGTGACCCCAACCCTCACTGCTGATTAGTTGTCAGGACTATAGGTCATATGGCCCTGCCCCTTGTTGCTGCTTGGTTAAAAAAGCTATCCGTTATGCAGCCCCACACCTGACTGCCAATAGGTGAAGAGGGTTGGGGCCTCACGACAGGCAGCCCTCTTAGCCAATCAGTAGTGAGGGGTGGGGGCGGCAGCCATCTTGCTGGTAGCCTGTCAGAATTCACCCTGTCTTTCCAAAAGACTTTCCCCATGAAGTTTTAGACAAGGGGAGGGAAATGTGAAGTCAGTATTAACTTCTCATGTACCGGGAAATAAGTACTACCCCATACTCTGATATGCTAAAAATGTTCATACTGTAGCAGAAGTAAATATTACTGCTAAAGGAAACACTCTTGCTTTATAAGAAAAAGTAAGCCTTTCAATACTTTTTAAAATTTTAAATTAAGGATTTAAAAAATACTTGAAAAAGGAAACGAACAAAAAAAATCTCTTATAGACTAGAACCAAACAAAGGTCTCAACTGCATAGAATCCATCATCCTGGTGTAAATATTTAAAGGAGACAGTGAACCAATGTCACCAGCTTATTTTATAATGATGATATAGGTTTTTGTTGTACTGTGCATTTTACCACATGTATAGTAAAAACTTTACTGAGCTATGCCTGTCTATCCACCATTTGATAAGTGTTCATGAACATGGATGATTTCAAATATTATCACCTACACAATTTTACGTTGTAGTGGCACGTATGCCTCTGAACAGGAAAGGTGTGGGGCAGATCTGCCTCTATCTGTTCTCCCCAAAAATATTACTGCTATGTAAACTGAAGGAATATTTTCAGTTGAAAGACAGTCATAGTGTATATTGGAAATGAAAAGAGGGAGGCATATACAAGATGCTGAACAACATGTAAAAATATGAATTATTGCCTGTTCCAATTCAACTTCACAATATCACAGTGCTCAGGGTCGGAAGTGACCTAAACAGATCATCAGGTCCAAACCCTACCCCAGGCAGGAACGAGTGCTGGTGTCATATCATCCCAGCCAAATATCTGTCCAAACTCCTCTTGAAGACCCCCAAGGTAGGAGAGAGTACCATCTCACTTAGGAGCCCATTCCAGAGCCTGGCAGCCAGAACTGTAAAGTAATGTCTCCTGATGTCCAGCTTGAGCCTTCTCTCTAACAATTTGTGGTCATTATTCCTAGTAACCCCGGGTGGTGCCCAGGGGAACAGAGCATCCCCCAATTCTCGCTGGTCTTCCCGTTGAGTTTGTAAATGGCCACCAGATCCCCTCTCAGCCTTCTCTTGTGGAAGGTGAATAGGTTCAGGCCCTTTAGCTTCTCTTTGTAAGGCCTACCCCGCTGCCCCTTGACCATGTGAGTGGCCCTTCTCTAGACCCTCTCCATGCTAGCCACATCCCTCTTGAAGTATGGCGCTCAGAACTGGATGCAGTAGTCCAACTGTGGCCTGATCAATGCTGCATAGAGGGGAAGGATCACCTCCCTAGACCTGCTTGTGATGCATCTATAGATGCACGACAAGGTGCGGTTAGCTTTACTGATCATATCCTTGCATTGGCGGCTCATGTCCATCCTGGAATCAACAATGACTCCAAGATCCCTTTCTGCCACCGCACTGACAAAAAGGGTGTTCCCCAGCCTATAGGTGTCTTGCTGGTTCCTTCTTCCCTAGATGCAGTACCTTGCACATGTCTGCATTTAATTCCATCCTATTCTCATCTGCCCACCTCTGTAACCTGTCTAGATCTAGCTGGATTCTGTCCCTCTGCTCCAGTGTGCCCACCTCACCCCACAACTTGGTATTGTCAGTGAATTTGGACAGCATGCATTCCATACCCACATCTAGATCACTGATAAAGATGTTGAACAGTACAGGCCCCAGGACCGAACCCTGGGGGACTCCACTGCCCACATCTCTCCAGGTCGAAAACGACCCGACCACCACCACTCTCTTGGTGCAACCATCTAGCTAATTTGCCACCCATCTGACTGTGTAGGTATCAATGCCACAGGGACCAAGCTTTTTTTAAGAGAACGTGGTAGGAAACCATGTCAAAGGCCTTCTTAAAGTACAGGAAGATGACATCCACCCTGACAGCCTCATCCAGGAAGTTTGTGACCTGATCACAGAAAGAAACCACGTTAGTCAGGCAGGACCTGCCTCAGTGAACCCATGTTGGTTGCCCCTGAGCATTACCTCCCATGCTGGGCCATTGCAGATGTGCTCCTTGATAATTTTCTCAAAGGTCTTCCCAAGGACCGAGGTAAGACTTACTGGCCTATAATTGCTGGGGTACTCCTTTCTCCCCTTCTTGTAAATGGGGACAACATTGGCCTTTTTCAATCCTCTGGTACCTGGCCAGTGCCCCACGAGCACTCAGAGAGCTGTGCCAGGGACCCCACTATGACCCTCACCAATTCCCTCAGCACCCACAGGTGAGGAACACCTGGACCTACTGATTTAAATATGTCTAGCCCCTCCAAAAGTTCCTGAACTAGGTCGTCCCTGACCCTAGACATGGTGGTGCCTCCCCTGGGTCCGTCCAGAATTCTAGTGGGGGAGATGTCCCGGTCCCTGTTCAGGAATATGGAGGCAAAGAATTTGTTAAAGAGGTCAGCTTTTTCATTTGCCACAATCACCAGATTTCCAAGCCTATCCTGTAGGGGCCCCATGTTACCTGGTGCCTTCTTCTTACTTCCTATGTATTTGAAAAAGGACTTTTTATTATCCTTAATCCTGGTTGCTAGCCCTAGCTCCATCTGTCTTGGCTTCCTAATAGCCTCCCTGCAGTTAGGATTTATATCTTAAGCTTGCTGCAGTGAATTTATATTACAATAATCTAATCTAAATGCACTACATTAATGCTGACATTTTGCAAGGCAATGGGAAGAAGAGCCATGCACTTGGATCAGTACTTCGTATGCTTTGGTTTCATCAAGTATGGGACCTGGCTTTAAATTTACTCAAAGATAGAACCCTGTGAATTGAAATATTTGATTTCAGATTCTTCCATACTTTAAAAGAGTAAAACATTTAAATTACAACTGGAAACATAAAACAAGAATCCCATTGTAAAGCTATGTAAGGCTTGGCAGAAGAACAGCATTTGGGCCACATCGCTACGCAGAGGTTCCTCTGTCATTCATTCAGATCTTGTAGAACATGATTTCAACTTCTTGACACAGGCTAGTGCAAAAAGGCTCCTTAATTATTCTAATGTCAGAGTGTAATTAAGGATTAGATCTGTCAAGCCAAATCTTTATAAATTATTTTTAAGACAGTTCTAACAAGGGAGTAGATGGTGTGAAAAATGTACAAAAACTGAATTTTTCCCTAGGTAAATTTTATTTGAAAAATCTGGGGAATTTTTTGTTTTGCTTTTTCATCTTTTTTTTGGTTCATTTTGGACTTTTTTGGTTTTCCATCACGTTTCAAACTTATTCAAACAAATAATTTTGTTGCAACTAAATATTTTTCGGGCCAAACAAAATAAAATTGCACTGTGCGCTGATTTAAGTTTTTTGGTATGATGATGAAAATGGTATTTTAAGTCTAACAAGATATATTGTTTCAAATTTTTCCATGGTAAAACTTAAATTTCCCATTGAAGTTGAATTGTTTCTGAAAAAAGATCAGTTTGATGAAACAGTATTTCTCAGCAGAAAATTTCAGTGAAAAAAAATTCAGCTGGATCTGCAGGGAGAACAGATTGGTCAATCTATGTTATAGGTTACATTTCATTCCATTTCTTGGCTTTCAGGGGGTCCATTTATCTTTCCTTTGTCATCATTGTACCAGAAAAGAGGAGAAATGCTACATAAATTAAAGTATAACTCAGCTTTTATGATTCCATGGAAGGATTCATACAAGATGAGGAATATAATAATTATTTGTCATTTGATCTCAGCAACTGAGATCACGGCCCGTTTTACTAGATATGAAACATACCCTATACAGAAGAGCTTGATACCTAACAGACAAGGTGGGGAAAGGAAAACGGAGCTTTAGAGATGCAAAGTAACTTGCTGGGTTTTACACAACATGTCAGTAACAGAAACAGGGAGAGAATCCAGACCTTTTCAATCCCCAATCAATTCCTTCTCCACTAGACCACACTCCTTATTCACCAAAGGTCTACCCAGGCCTTTCTGCAATTGCTATTTGCCACATCTATTTCAGAAGTATGTGGATTAGCTGATCAGAATCTGATTTTTATTCTTCAACATGGACTAATTCTGATGCTTCATTAGAAGGGATAATTTTCTGTAATGCACCTTTCCTCCCCTCCTATATGCAACACACTCCTCTCCCTTATCCTACCCTGCATGGCAGCTTGGCCAAAATATGTGGCTTTCCTCAGAAGACAGACCTCCTCCATCCCAGGAGG